TTGTTGTGCTGTGTGTGCTCGTAGATGTGTTGGTGCTGGTTGGTGCGCTCGCAGATGCGTTGGTGCTGGTTGGTGTGCTGTGTGTGCTCGTAGATGTGTTGGTGCTGGTTGGTGCGCTCGTAGATGTGTTGGTGCTGGTTGGTGGGCTCGCAGATGTGTTGGTGGTGGTTGGTGCGCTCGCAGATGTGTTGGTGCTGGTTGGTGCGTTCGTAGATGTGTGGGTGCTGGTTGGTGCGCTCGCAGATGTGTTGGTGCTGGTTGGTGCGCTCGTAGATGTGTTGGTGCTGGTTGGTGCGCTCGCAGATGTGTTGGTGCTGGTTGGTGCGCTCGCAGATGTGTTGGTGCTGGTTGGTGCGCTCGCAGATGTGTTGGTGCTGGTTGGTGTGCTCGTAGATGTGTCGGTGCTGGTGACTGAATTTGCAGTCATGTCAGAGGTTGGAGAAGTGGTGGATTCTCCAGTGGTGGTGACATCTGTGGTAGTTATTCCTACAGTCAAACAGAAACATAAATAAAAAATAAAAAATCAGCTCATCACTTCTCTCCTGGGCACATCTCCCTAAAATGTTATATATAATCACAATCATAACACAAAGATTCATTTAAAAAGTAACAACACCCCCTGAGAATCTTGTTCTGGCTGACCTCCAGTCGGTTTAACTCCTGCCCTGGCTACAGCGATGTATAGATACACTGGGTGTATGTACAGAGCACATCTCTGACCAACTCATCCATACTCATCAATGATGTTGGGTGTGATCTGAGGTGAAACAGGCTTCAAACATTTAACCAGAGGGGGCAGCAAAATACATCTTTTCAGTGTGGTTTTAAGTTACTCTTTAAGTTAGTTACATATGTGTAAGATTAGAACATTTCTGATTTGGCAATGTGGCAGGCAGCAATATGGACCAAACACTGAGATAAATACTCTGTACTGACAACAACACATAACTGCACCAATTTTCAACATGACTGTTTCATTTTTGTACAGAAACAAAAAAACAACTTGAGGATAAATGTAAAAAAAAAAAACAAACAAACCTGTGGCTTTAAACCAGCATGCTCTGATTTTTTTTTGGCCCCACAGGAGAAACGTAACACTGACATATTATCATCTTATAAAGTTGATATGGTGAACATGTATCTTTAAATCATCAAGCAGACACAGCACCATTAACATTCAATGAAAGTGAAGATCATCTACTGTATACAGCAAGCCTGTTGTGTGAGATTTGTGTGACGTCTGGCACAAAGAGCAAAAGGCAGTGGAGGATTATTATCAAATTAAATATTACTGAGCTTTTCTGAAATTGTGTTTGCTTTGCTACTTCATATTTCAGCATTTTCCAGTAGGGTTTTCACATGGGTGCACCAACATTTTGTAAGTAGAACTGGGTATGCAAATAAAATCCTTTTACCTATTTTTAGTCATTTGACTCTCCTCAAAATGCTACTTTTGTGAAAGATTAGAAGCACTATCAACTCAGTAAACACTTTTTAAAAACTTACTGCATGGCTTTATCTTGATCTAGAGGAGTTTATCAAGATGCGTTAGCCACCAACTTTATTTTACCAAAAGGAACAAACTGCCTCTTATTTGTTCAGTGTGCTGTTGTGAGGCCTGTTCCCAATTAGCCAGCTCCCGCTCTCTGCTTGGTGTTTATGGGGTAAAAAGAGGAAGCCAGAGAGCAGTCTGGGGAGCGCTATGAACAGTAGGAGGCCTTTCATAATGGTTTAGCCTCTTTACATCAGCTCCTCCCTGATATGCATCCAATGATTACATTCAAAGCCCCTTTTCAGCAAACGCAGAGAGAGAACACATACTTGGCAGATTGGGAGACACCTTACACAAACAGTCCACCACCTAGTAAGTCATTTAAAAGCACAAGGAACTGGTGCAAAAACCAAGACTATTATCAGATCCTCAGCATGATTTGATTATCGTCTGTGTGTACAAGGCCTAATGTCTTTGTCACTTAGCAACCAAGACATATTTAGAGATATAAACGTATAGTCACAGGCTCCACACACCCTGTGACAACAAACTTTTATTGCTATGATGTACTTGATGTGCACACACACACGCCCATACCCCCCTTTAAAAATTATGTATTAGAGGAATAAAATAGGCCATGAAGCAGTCATCAATGGTAGATAAACACAGCTGATGTTTTTAATGGTCATAAAATAAAGGAGTGTCAGAGCTAAGCAAGGCTGGACCTAAATGTGACACAGCATAACATGAGATCATTGCTGTAAAACACACATGTATCATTTTGTATCACATCTTGTCTAGTTTAAGACTTAAGGGCAACTGACTAATCTTACTGGCTGACCAGAGATCAAGATTAATGAAAAACCTCTTAAATCAGTTCTGGCCAACCCTGTCTTGATTATTCCTGTGTTATATTTTTCAGTGTATCATTTGCAAGGACTTGTGTCAACTGAGCTGAAGGTTAAGCATTTCACTGTTCACCCTGCATACCTTAAATTCTGCTAAAGTCTCACAGGTTTTATCTGCTTGTATCAAAAATCAGCACATTTTAGCTGTTTTTTTCAGATTCCCATTGCTTCATTGAAACATTCTGCAGCCAGTTTCAGTTTACTCTCCATCCTGTAGATCAGTCAGGTGTTTGTGACCTGGCCCACTACAGTAGCTGGGTGCCAGTAAGAACAGATACGGTTCAATCAACACACACAATCAATCAACACTTGGGGAGCTATTAAAAAGTAAAACACTATCATTAACTCTGCTGGTATGGACTCATTAATGCAGTCAGAGCCTCATCAGTTGTGTGTGTGTGTGTGTGTGTGTGTGTGTGTGTGTCACTGTTGTGTCAAGGCACCATAATGTCTTTCATCTCCACATAATGTACCTCTGTGTCTTGACTAATGACACAGATCATCTAATCAGGATGGAGGCCTTTGTTAATTAAACACTGAGGAAATCATAACATTTTGAACAAAGTGTTCAAAAGAGGGCATCATAAATAAAAAAAAGTACCTGTATCTACTCAAATTAGCAACAGTAATTATCAAAGTCATCAGCCCTGTGAGAAAGTCTAGATTTTCCCCCTTCAGTTTGTGTTTCCTATTTCCATGCTAAGATGCAAAAACAGGACGCTGAACTATCGGATGGATTACTTTGTGTAGAAAATGTTAAATCAGGATGTTGGTAAATCAATCTCACTGACCTAGCTAACATTTGATTGACAGCCCATTGTTCAAAAAGGGCTTTTGTTAAAAAAAAATTGGATAGCTAGATAATTCAATTTGATATTTACATCCAAACATTATTACAGTTTGAACATTTTAAAATCTAGAGGTAAACTTGCAGCACTGACAGGTTGTGAAATCCAAAAGGCACCTATCAGTAAACTACTGCCAGTAGAGCACAAAGGGGAAGATTAGGACTACTGTTTGGAGAAATTACACAATCAGTCAATATATACAGTATCACCTGTAAATAGAAACCAAATATGAGATGGGTTTTTGTGTGTGATGGCATTTATAACATTGCCTGCACTGTTGTGATTCATCTGCAGTACACGCAAGATCTGATATGAGCATTACAATGCCATTTACAATTCCACTAAAATAAAGGCTGTTTTTTTCCAAGCAGCCTTCACATGAAATGATTATGATCCGATGTTTATAATGGAAAGGTGCAGAAGCTGAGCCCTTGAAAATGTCATACCGAGCAAAGTCTCTTGATATGTTGAGGTATTTCTGATATCTACAAATCATAAATAATACAGATATTTAAAGTATGTCATGGTCTCATCAAAAAAGCCTAGAGTCTATTTATGGACAAATCTGAATGTGTGTGGCTCAACATGAAACACTGTGGTTCTCCTTCCATTTTCCATTGTGATGTTTGCTTCCACCTAAAAAGTTCTGCTTCTCTATTCTAAATTTTGTGAAAATGTCAGCTGTCACTGAAGTACAAAGACTTAATTGTGAGCACATTTCAAAGAGCATCTATGACACCACAGACAAATACTGATACAGTAACAGCTGGAACAATGTGTTTAAACTAGACCAGAGCATTTTTTTTATCTACAATACATGTTAGCAGCCCAATGCCTTTGTTTTATGACCTTAAAAGAACTGTTAGTGCAGCTTTTAGGGCTCTGGTGATTGTGGTGTTACTCGTGAGGATGAAAAGATTTATAAATCCATGCAAGACAATGTAAACAGGCAGCCAGTTAGTGTAATATAGTTTAAACACCGGAGTAATTAAGTGCACACTCTGCACTGCACTTCTATAACAGTGCCTTGTCTGGACAGATTTACCTACAGCCAGATAATCCCCTGCAGACACAAAAGGGTTGACTGGGTCAGGGTGACTAGTGGGTCTAAGGTTGGCCTGCAAACACACACTCAGGAGGATGTGGATTAAGAAGGTCCGGCTTTAGTCAAGGGAGCTGGTCATTTTCTCTGACTTTAGTAGCAATGCTCAAGACAAACTATGAAGCCACTTAAAAACTCTCCACTTCTCTCTTTATCTTTTTTGTCGAGGGCAAAATCAAACAGTGCAGTGTGGTATCTCTTGCTTCCTTTCAAAGCTTCACCTCACTTCAAATTACTGACAGTAATGGGAACACAGAGCTAGACATTAGCATTGATGTTCATATTTCAGCTCAGCCCCGTTCTTTCAGGGGCTTTCTATTCATGCGACACAATAGCACTCCTGTGAAGTACCAGCTCATGAAGGAACTGTCAGTTCCAATTCCCCAAACACCCATTCTCAACTTTCTGTCCACAATGCCACTCCCTGAGAATAAATCCTTGTCTCTAGTGATGACACATCTCGGGGTGAGGCATACTAATACCAAGAAGGAATCCTGAGCAGGTCCGGAGAGCTAGAGAGAAAGAATCTCTACATTTCTCAACGTTGCCATCAAATCTTTCCAGTCTACTATTCAGGAAGCAGCACTCTGATGAGGTGAACCTGATTAAAGAACATGCCCAGAGCAGGAGATGAGCTGCCAGGTTGTGAACCAACAATCAGGAAGAGCCTGAGGCCAAAATGCAGGATCTGAGCAGGAGACAGAATAATCATATGAAGAGCTGACCTATAATCGTGTATTAGCTAATTAAAACCTCAAAAATAGAGTTTCCCGTTAGTCAAAGACCAGAGGTTATTTGATCTAATAACTCAAGAACAAAGTTGTGTATCACTAACAGGTGAGTGACAGTGTATCATTGACAGTGGTGACTGAGCAGAATTAAGGGTCCAGCTCTTTGTGCTGCAAAAACGTTTGCTCTCTTCCATCTGGACTGTCACAAAAACTTGGCTAGGATTGTTGTTCTTCCTACTGCTGAAGAAACAGACTTCATGCCTAACACACACATGTTCCAACCAGTCCAACACACACACACATAGACAAAGTCTCTGCACAAGGAGGGAGGCCGCAGTTATTTCACAGTTACTACCGTAAGACTTTTATAATACACAGAGTAGCATGGCAGACAAAAATAAAAGAAGCTGATCCTGATATCTTCTACATCATACTATGTCATACATATGGTTCCTCTCTCATCAGACAGTCTCCAATTTAAGTGGCACCCTCCACAGCAGGAGGAACACAGAAACAAGCTGTCGGTATCTGAGCAAACAGGGCTCTTATACTGTGACTCGGAGGTAACAGATGGCTCCCTGGAGCATGAGCGGGGCCTCTGCACATATCATATCCAATTAAAGCTCCGCCAGCACATGCTTTCCAATTACAGAGTAAGATTTACTGCCACTGAGCAGGTCTAATCCAACAGGATGCAGCAGGGGCCGAGCAACAGAGGCAGAAAGAAGGCCAGAGAAAACGAGAAAACAGCAGCAAATGTGCATGAAAACAACATAGTACATACAGTACCAGCAATTGGGAGGGCAACAAATGAGGAAGCTGAAGATCGATTATTAATATTAAACAGAAGCAAGCACTGACTGATAAACAATGTGACACTTCATGGACTTCTTCAAATTGATAACACTGAAAAATCTCTAAAAGTGGGCGTTGTTAATGTGTGTGCGTGCAAGAGTCTGGCGCTCGAGTAACTTTTCAAGCAACAATGCCAGTCTCTCTATGTGATGATTATCTAGTTAGGATTTAGACTGTCAATCACACAAATGTAGTAAACTGAAGACATTACCATGGCCTCTGAGAAACTGAGACTCATTAGTCAGATCAACTGATATTAAAAATAGCTGTTAGTTGCAGCTCAGTCTTTTCACACTGCTACAACTGTTCGTTAACTCCGGAGCAGATTTTGCATGCTCTGGTAATGCCCTCACAGTGACTAGCCAGCAAAGCATGACACATGTGGAGGAGAAGCAGAAGCAGAGGGAAGAGAGAGAGTCAGGCATTTAACGTGGTCTGTTCCCTGAAGATTTCTTACGGAGAGCACAAGAAAATGTGGCGCCAGACTCAGAGGAGGAGGACCACGACCCTCAGGAGGCCTTTTTATCTGGACTTTACTGCTACTTCAGACACATGCTGTCAAGCCCCAAACATCCATCACATCCCAGTCTTCCTCTCGTTCCCTTTACCTCTGTGTTTCTGTACAAGTGAGACACATGGCAGAAAGTGAAAAACACAACGGAGGCTCCAGCACATGACTGTGACTGACTCTCAGTCTTCATATGGAAACCTTTAAACAAAGAGATGCACTTCAGCACTGTCCAAAATAATCCAGAGGGTGACTAATAGATTTAACTGCAGCTACAGTGGAAAGTTCATCAAACCTCCTCTGATGGCTTCACTGCACTGCTGAGGGGGGTCTGCTTATGCACCCACAGAGTAAACTGTGTGCGTGGAGCGTGCTGCACTTCAGTTAGCCGGCTGTTGGTTTTTTTTGACCAGTGCCTCCTCACTGGCATCTGTCCACCCCAAGAGAGCACTGAGTCACACTGAAGGAGCTGTGAGTCAGGGTTTAAGACTATCTGGGAAAACCCCCCATGGAAAAAACATTTTACAAAGAAGGAAAAAGTTACAGGAATCAGCTGTCTCTTTTAACTAAAACAAAGGCTAAACACATTACAGAACAATATGTTTTTATGATTTACTAATTCAGTCATTGATAGGTTTATCTGTTGATTTCTTTGTGGAAAAGCTTTTACTTTATCTGCTTTCCATAAAAATGTATCAGTGGTTTATTCATATTATTAACCCTTTCATAAGACATCAAGTACAAAATAATAAATAATAAACATCCAGATAATAAGCATATGGTAAACGGAGGTTTATGTCAGTGAAGAAAATCTCTTATCTGCAAGAAACAATACTGAAAATTATTAGTTATAATCAGCTAAACTGAATATGTTTAAGTCACAAGACATGATTTAAGACAGAACCAAAGATTTACAAAAGAGGGGAAAGAGAAGAAGAGTCTGAATATATATCTTATACATGTACAAAATAAAGCCACTCATGTGATATTGCATTTAAAAATGTTTATGTAGCCAATATGTGTGTGTTTGGAGGTTAAACTATCCAACAGTAGCTTCTATATGGTAACAACTTCCACCACGACTATTTACAGGACATCAGAAATGTTACTAACAGGATACATGTAAGAAAAAAATCAACAGGCTATTAATATTTAATTAGTCATATAATAATGTAATTCTCACAAAGGCATTTTTTACTTTTCGTACTGAGAACATTTTGCTGGTAAGTAAAAGTATTAATCAATATTTTTGACTGCAGGACGTTTACAATGAAGTATTACTTTTCTTTGACTTTAAAGGAGGCCAACATTTAATGCAAACGTGGGACAATCTGAGTTGACAGTAGGTAGGAAAAACTCATTTTATACGAATTTTCAGTGTTCAAATCATTTTCCAAATTAAAGGTGTAGATAGAAATGAAACAATTTCGCAGTTTATCAGACTGGGAGGAGGAAACTTCACTCACCGTTGTGGAGAGCTGCTAGGAGAAACACGACGGGCAAGTAGTTGAGAGACATGATTGAACTTTGTGCCACGGTTCTTCTGTGTAGGACCGGCCTGTCCTGATGCCCTGTACGTGTCTCAGCGGTGTAACGGAGCGTGCTGAACCCTCTCCTCACTGCTGCCTGCTACAGGTGGTTTACATTGAGTATCGCAGCCTCTGCCGGACTTAAAAGCGTTTATCTCTCCTCTGATTGGATCGTTTCTCCTGTCACTCATCGTTGCCGCGCTGCATGGCTCTGCCTCCACCTTTTCTCTGACCTTATACTCGTTGTCAGCAGCACCAAGGGAACCACAGTACAGAAACGGTCTGTTAGCTAATGGTTTACATAAATGCAAAGAGTGAGCAAAAAGGAGTCTTTCAAAGCTCAATGGGTCAACTAAACAACACAGAAAACTATTATTCCATCAGATGTGGGCTACTGCAAGGCTACAACCAGCTATTATTTTCATTATCAATACATCTGACAGTTATATATTTGATTAACTGAGGACTGCTTAGTGGCAAAGTTAATGCATTAAAATTTATTTTGTTATCCTCACGACCACAGTCTTCATTCCTTTTGCATAAGTTTTTCACTGAACGGTCGACACATTCGTGCTCTTCCTGGTAGTAGAACTATGGAAGCATGACTAAAAATACCTTAACAAATAAGTCAACATTATCTAAGTGAAACCTGTTTTGAAAAATAAAGATATCAGTAAACCAAAGTGCACTGCAATGAAAATCCCCTGATATTGGACAGATTTTATTATCTATCCATTAATAGTTTTAACAATAGATGTCAAACAATGCCAACCCAAAATCCAAACCCAAATCAAATACAGCCAACTGAATGTTTGCATACTATTACCCAACTTTCACCAGTGTGAATGGCCCATATGTGACATTTTTTTATTAAACTGTTATAATACACTCATACATGATTCAGTTATGCACCTTTGTCTGCTTTGTGCGTGTTAGTTTTATGTGTATGTTCTCTGTTGTTTCTGTACCAGTGAAAAAACAAAAATAAACAGAAAGCTACTGTTTTCAATGCTTCTCTTCTTTGGAGTGACTTGTCACTGTTTAATTACATGACTGATTACACCCTGGGCAGTGCACATCGGCAAACAGACATGTTGAACAATAAAGAGATTTATGAAATGAAGCCAAAACCTCAGCACCATTCTGAATTTTGAAATAATACATTTAAACTTCTCTTATCTAGGTCAGCCTGACCATAAAGTTAAAAAGCATGATGGATTAAACACTTTCCTCTTGTCATCAAGGAATGAATTTTTTTTTTTTGCCTGGGGACGCCATGTGTGGATAATTGATTGTTTGAGTAAGTGGATTAATCTGCATTGACAACACACACTTCAAGCACAATGTACACTAGTTCAAATTGCCAGTAATGTTAGGAACTGGGAGTCATTGAATTAACAACTTCATTATTATTACTACAATGAAAATAATAATATCACCATCACGGCAAACTGCTGTGATGATATTTACAACTGAACAACTTGCAGTTCTGTTTGAACTTGACATATCACCAGTGTTGGGCCGTATCACATCACTAGTAATGTGATACTGTAATAATATTACTTTCCCAGTAATAGGTAGTGTAAAAAGTTACAATTAAAATGTCAGTAATAATATTACAATTACAAAAACAACTCATTACAATGTTATTTTTGTTGTCACCGTGGCAAATATTAATATTTGTAGTCGTTGCGTGTCATTTAGCAGCACCATAAGCAGTAAGTTAGTTTGGAAGATGAAAATGCATATGTTCAGTAGCTGGAAATACTTTGATTTTATCAAGATGAAAGATGATAAGAATGTTACTGTAAAGTGTAAAGTGTGTGCAGGTAGAGGGCCTGTTTAACTAAGATTGTGTTATTGTTTAACTAAGGTGTCAACTTCATCTGACCTAATGGTTGTTTCTCACTGTAACGTTTTGAATTCTGCAGTATTTTCATATGAAGGATTTACCAGGCAAATTCATTTACTGTCTTTCTGCTTTCCCTTTATTACAACAATGGCTCGAGCCATAAGACATATAACCATCACATAACCAACACCAGATAAACACATACACCTTGGCAACTTTGCTCTTATCTCATGCAAATAAATACACAGGGTCAATGCAACATTTTTGAATAACACATGTTCAGTTTCATTCCAGCCATCTCAAAGATTAATTCCAGTAACCTTTCTTTGTTGACACAAGTGTGTCCCACTTCATTACTGGATTCTGAGAAAGATGTTTGCTGTTCTTCATATTGTAAAATGACATTTGTTTTAAATTAACTTTTTATTCTCTGTGGTTGAGGGATTATTTCTGCTTAAAATATAACCTATAGCAAAAGACTTTTGGACAAAGGTGCAAAAAGAAGCAGATATGCTACTTACTTATTGAATTGTTGTAGAGCAAAAGTATGAAAACACAGAAAGAAAAAAGTACCTCAAAACTATGCCAAGTTACACAACTTAAAGCTGCTTTACCAAATTTCTTTAGACTCTCTACTGAGAGTCAAAACAAACAGACACCATAAGATGGATACTAATGCATCTAAGAAGAACGCCACATTTGAATCAAAGTTGAGTCATTTAGCTGCTTTTAACACTCACCGTCATAAAAAGCCAAACTGATGTTAACCCTGGTGTTCGCTCTTTCTTTGTCCCACTCACTGTGCAAAAGAGATTCAAGATTTTTTATTGTCAATTCACTATATGTGCAGGACATACAGAAAAATCGAAATACTGTTTCTCTCTCTCCTAATATTGAATGCCCATACCATTTAAGAAACTAAGGTAGAATATGAAGCCTGAATTAAAGTAATTAAGATAAACTAAATGGTACAACCTAATGGGCTATGAAGAAACTCAAAGCCATGTGCAAACAGTGACAGTAGTGCAATAATAACAAGAAGACTGTCAGTTGGTCAGCATCACCAGGGGTGTTGGTGATGAGATGCATAATAGCTTATAAAAAGAGCGGCACCTCTTCAGTCCGACAGCCATTGTTTTGGACTTTTAGCTGCTGAATTCTCCTCCATGGCCGGCTGTTTGAAACGACTACTCGCAGTTTGAAAAACACTGAATATAACTTTTGCTAGGTGACAGACAGGCCCAATTTATGGGCTGAACTTTGGCAATAGGGGGTACATCCCAAGTCTTTTATATGATTGTTCCTCAATCCTTGGTCAATCAGAATGACTTCTAGGTGGAGCAAGAAACTAGGACATCCCAAGACACATGTATTTGCTCTGAAGAGCAAGGACTTAGGAGCAAGTACGAGTACTGTATGTTTAAGCTGCTGTGAGCAAGGATACATGAGCGCATCCGACAGGCCCCTTTAACAGAAATCAGTTGGTGACTGGACACTTCAGATGAATGATCAGAGGAAAGGATGTCTCATGTACACATTTCCTTGTTTCCTCCCTACTCTACTTGCATATTTTCCTTGCATCACTCCTCACAGCTTCATCGGGAGAAACTAAGGTGCAAAGAAATGACAAGCGAGGGAAATGTGAATGCACATACTGTATATGAACACATACTAGAGAAGCTGGAATAACAAAAGCAGGCTTAGACACTTGTGTTCACTGACTTAGGCACAGTGGTGATTTGAGTTAAATGCTAATCTCAGCATTAAAACATGCTGATCTTCAGCAGGTATGATATTTACTATGTTTACTGTCCAAGTTTAGCTTGTTGCTACTGTAAATAGCACACAAAGTACAGCTGCAGGAAATGTTGACCTGAAGACGATGTCAGAACAAAAGTGAAGGGTTAAAATATATAGGCCTATCTTAAAGAGGTCACATTCAAAAGTGAAACTGCTATTGGCACAAACGGGCTAAAAGTCAGGAATCATCAAAGTCTGTAAGATTTATCATCTGGGAGCTACAAATGTCTTTGCTAAGTTTGATGCCAGGCCACCTGGTAGATGTTGAGATAACGGAAATCTGATCTGCTGGTGGCACTAGAGGAAAAGTCACAAAATTCTATGGATCAAATACTTGTTGAGGTATTTCAGTTTGGACCAGTGTGACAGAATGCCATACTGACATTGCGATCCCTAGAGCAAAGTCTTATTTGCATTCTGTATTATTTACTTTCTAGCTATGCTTCATGTTGCAGCATGATTAAAACTCATTTCTCTCCTTTATTGCCGTTGTTCCTCATTCGCTATCAGCCTGTGTACACAACACAGCTTTGAACACCATCATGCACGTCGCACTCACATCCACTCTGTCAACAGACCTGTGTCCCTTAGCAAAAGAAAGAGGCAAGAACGGCACAGACACTGAGACCATCTAAGTGCTTGGTAAGCCTCCCGCAGGGGAGCTCTGCATCTTTTGTGATGTATTTGGGCCAAAAACACCTCTTTGACATTCAGCTCAGGGAAAACACTGTAGAGTCTTACTGCCTGCATCTGAGCAACACACCTCCTTGGTTACTTAATAAAATAACATTCCTCCTGGTCACACCTTTGTTCACACTTTTATGGTCAAATTTGTATAGTCAACAGTTAGTACAATGCCCAAGTGTCAGTCCTGGCTCATGATGATGTTGAGAAAGTATGGTGGAAAAAAAAATGAACAAACTCTTTGTCATTATCACCATACATTAAATAAGTCATGTATTAACAAAATGGGAATGGCACGGAATCACGTGTGTTCTCGGCATGGACATAAAGGCTTATAATTCCAACCCCACACACACACACACACACATAAAATGCAGTTCTTATTCTGTGGTAACAGGAAGACAGCCAACTTCTCTTTCTGATATAAGGAAGTATTTTAATTCCCATCAGAGATACTGATAAGAAAATGTGAGGATATGAAAGGTTTAGTTCACCTGAACATGCACCAGTGGCGGCGCTCATGGTAGTTGGTGGGGACGGGTTAGGAAACACCTAAGTAGCTTCTAGTGACCCTGTATCTACATCTCTCTAATTGCTGAGTTAACTGTGCTCTATTGTCTGTAAAATAAAATTTGTTATTTGTATTAGTTTTCTTCCTCTTTTGTGTGTTAAGTACATTTTTGTACAGGTGTGTATTTAGTGCTGTACCTTCAGTGAACTGATGGGTGTCACTCCGAGTAACTGAATGACTGAGCTGATTTTCCTCAAGTTCATAACATTTAATTTATTGCATTTATCATGTTAAGTGAATAAAAAGGGAAAATCCAGCATCTGAAAAATGCTTAATAGAATTTGGACTTTTCAAGAAAAAAGTTTCTTAAGGTCTGTGCATGTGTGTTAGATAACTGGAACCAGACTTTATGTAGAAGTATGAAGCAATACTCAGCTGTTACTTCACTGGTATGTTTACAGTTTATCATTTTCTGTGAGCTAAAGTTTAAGGAACTAACTTAAAGCAGAAGAACAAAAAACATTGTATGTGCTTACGATAACAAAGGAATGGTAAAATTCTACTTTTTAGAGAAAAGAAGGAATAATTAGAAAGACTTTTTTTTATCATGGGCCATGAAAACATACTTTGAAGATAAAACTCTCACAAGTTTTAATCCTGAAAAACTAACTTTCAGATTGGTGTTTTATGAGGTGGGATTTGATTTTATAGGAGTAAAGGTGAAGCACTTGGTTCATTAGGCTCTCTGATGTAAAAAATAATAATAATAATTTTTAAATACTTGCTACACTCTTTTAAATTCCATGATGGTCTGTTAAATGGGCAAGTAGGTAGCACAATGATCTGTAAAGCTGGCCTGAATTAAAAACTATATGGTTATCAGGAACATGCAGAGACCAGTGGGTTCAAATTTAAGAACCAAATCAAATGGCAAATCAAAGTAAGTATGACACATTCATTCATGTCAAAATGAATTACAAATATAACACAGCAAATAACTGATTGCATAGTTGACCCCCTTTAATGTCAGTATGTAGTAGATGCACCTTTGGCAGGATTTACAGCATTGAGCCTTTGCAGATAGGTCTCAGTCAGCTTTGCACATCTGGACACTGGAATTGTTTTCCATCTTTCTTTGCAAAACTGCTCCAGATTAGCTTTGCACCCATCATAACAGTTTGTAATTATTTCAGAACGATAAAACCCAGGAGCCTCCTGCTAAAGGTGAGAGGATTATTTGTGAACGCACACAACTCCTGCTGCCGGTGTTGTGTCAAAATGTGTTTCCCCTTCGAGATGTTTCCTCTAACCTGAATCCAGACATTATCCTAACCACAACCACTGAGGGGGTCGCTACATGAAAACGAGTTTTGAACAGGGGAAACCCATCTCGATGGGGACTGGTCAGGAAGAAGCCAGGACAATGCATAAACAAAAAACATTGACAAATAAGCTACGTTTTCAACAATACCTGAACTCCTACCTGCATAGAAATACTAGAACATACTGTATGTACACCTCATTTTTTGACCTTTAGGTCACGTCTAAGATGATAATTCACAGTTGTAACGTTGTAGATAAGTCAAAAAACAAGGAAAAGCACGGGCTATGGGCTCTTTAAGTGTGATAGCCTACATTAGCTACTGTTGTGTGCGTGTACACGTTAATTTAAACCCCCACCCCCACATGCCAGCTGGTCTTCAATACAGTTAAATGCACCAAATGTTGGGAGTGCATTCCTAAGGAAGCCCAGTATTCTAGTACTGGGCACTGCTGTGGGTTTCCAGCTGTGCCATCATAGCTCTGCTAAGCCCCAGGACACGTTCTTTAGCCCTAACCCGCCCTGTCTTTGACCTGATCTAACATCTTTTTGACCCTCACCCAAGCACAGTGCCAAACTCATCTGCTAGTAGTTCATCTGTTGTCCCTGCGTATAGTACCAAACTCCATTACTAGCACCTGTAATGCACCTTTAAAGCATTCTTAGATCTTACGCTCACCCAAAGAGCAGATACTCAGTGGCACAGCCTGACCTTACACATCATTGTATTTGCTCAGGTTTAGCTAAAGTGCCAAAGCAATTGGCATGTTAGGCAACTATAGTAACTAGCCTATTTAACACCACACTATTAGAAACTAGAAATTTATTACAAATTCAATGAGGTTAAGTTAAAGTTCATTAAAGCATTTTCCTAAATACAATCATAAAGATCTGATCAATGAATTGTAGACAAAAACAAGCAACCGTATGAAGTCCTACAGCAATGCTACATTAACCCTACATTAAGTTTCCTAAGTGTTAAAAAAAAAGCAGAATAGACTGGCACAGATGAATGAGCAAATACAATCTTTTTGATAAGAACCAATACACTTCATTCCAGCACAATGTCTTCATAGATTGACTCTATCTCAGTGCCCTACCTAGTGCTTTGTACTCCAGAGTGGGCTAATCCCTTACTATTTAACTCACTGGGACATTTTGTCTATAAAGCCATTGTAGATAAACTTACCTTTGTAAACTCATGTAACAGAACTCACCTTCCACAATCTCATCTGAGATCTCAAGATACATATCTGCTGTCTGTCCCCGGTG